CATGCATAGAATGCAAGTCGCTGCATGCATTTGGTTTCTATGAATCGGTACTGTATTGCTTTCTAAGGCTACAGGGCTGCGGTGTACGGTGATTTCGGGTGTATACTCAGCTGCGGTGTATGCTGCAGATCGTTGATGAAGACAAACTTGTTACAGATAAAACATTTGGAACTACGGGAGCGCTGCCTCTGGAGATTGTGCAGTTTGGGGCTCAGGCAACGAGACGGTCTGTGCTTGCTGCTATTGTGAAGGTTATAGAGGAGAAGGCCCCCCAGGGGGGCCCCTCCGAACAAGACCCTGAAAAAGCTGCGGAAGCACTGGGTGTCTCTGCGGTGTACAGACACTGCAAAGGAAGCAGCAACCAACTCTTCGTCTCAGACAACGGAAACTTCTGTCTCGATCTCTTCTTTAAAAGACCCATTAAAGACCCGCACAAGTTGCATGACAGGCTCATCAATGTAAACCCTAAACCCTAAACCCTAGACCCTAAGCCTTAATCAACCCTGGGCAAACAACAGAAATAACTCCTCTCTTCTGCGTGTTGCTGCAGCTCGTGCAGTTGCTGCATTTGCTGCAGTTGCTGTCTGCTGCAGCCGCTGCAGCTCTTCCTTGATTCCCTTGATAGTTTGTGTGTGCTGGGGCTTGGTGCGGTGTGTTATATATCGCCTTTTGAATCTCTTTGCACTGCATGCATGCAGGCTGTGACGGGGTGTACGTACACTGCACGCCCCTCTTGAGAGTGCTTGCATGCGCGTTCATGGATGCATGCATTTATGAATATTCATGCATGCATGCATTTATGGATGCTTGTGCATGCATGCATGCATTTGTGAATGTTTGTGCATGCATGTTTGCATTTATAAGTGTTAATGCATGCATGCATGCATACATTGATAAGTTTAGATGCATCCAAGCATGCATGCATTTATGAATGCAGATGCATGCATGCGTTGTGCACTCCGTTATTTCTTTGTTCTTCTCCGTTTTGTCTGCAGGTTGTGGGTGTTGTGGAGACCGGCATTTTCATCGGTATCAGCGATCTCTGCATTGTTGGTCATTCCTCAGGCACCACCACCAGGGTGGCCCTTTAAGCTAGCTAGCTAGCTAGCTAGCTACTCAGCTGCATATCTCACCAGCTAGCTAGCCGACTGGCTAACTAGCCCTCCACCAGGATGGCTGGCTGGCTGGCTAGCTCCTCAGCTAGCCAGTTCCTCCGCTAGCTGGATAGCTAGCTAGCTAGCTAGGCGATCTCCTTAAGTAGCTTGCCGGGTAAAAGCCCAGCTAAGGAACTCCCTAGCTAGAGCGCTTCCCAGTTAGCTAGCCAGCTAGCTAGCCAGCTATCTAGCTAGGTAGCTGGCTAGCTGTCTAGCGGGTCCCAGCTTGCAGGCATCGGTAGCTCATTAGTCGCTACCTTCTCAACTGGCTTTGCCACCGTTTGACCTCAATTGATCAGTGCCCCTGGAGGCCCATGTGGGGCCCTTGGGGGGCCCTTGGAGGCCCTCTGGGGGCCCTTGGGGGCCCCTTAAGGGCCCCCAGGTACCCCTTAGGGGCCCTCGAGGGCCCTTGTGGGTGCCCTTTGGGGGACCCTCGAGGCCCTTGGGGGCCCTTTGGGGGCCCCCAAGGGGCCTTTTAGGGTCCCTTGGGGGCCCTTGTGGGAGCCCTGTTGCCCGTTGCGTGGACATCGGTTTATTTGTCTGGCTGGTTAGCTGTTTCTCTGTTTGTGCTGTGCACATTAAACACATTAAAATAAGTTTCTCCTTTTGTTTTTGATTTGTCTGCTTTTAGCTGTTGTCTTGCTGCTGCCCCCTGATAGCGGGGCCCTCTCTACTGCTGCTTACTGCTGCTGTTCTACGCTTGCTGCAGCTGCAGCAACCATCTGCTGCTGCATCTGGCAGCAGTTCCTGCTGCAGCAAGCAGCATTTGCTGCTGCAGCTGTGTGGCTATGCATAGGGTAGAGCTGCAATCAGCTGCCCTTTAAAAGATAGTTTAGCGGTGTGATCAGACAGACAGAGCGCATGCAGCTACTGCTGCACTGTCTCCTTAGCTCCCAGCAGTAGCAACAGCAACAACAACAACAACAGAAACCATCAGTGAGATAGCGGGGGCGCCCCCAGCGTCTCCAGCAGCGCTCGCACGGCATTCTTGGTCTCGCAGCAATCCATCACCTGGTCTGCTGCTGCTGCTGCTGCTGCTGTTGCTGTTGCTGTTAATGTTGCTGCTGCTGCAGTGCCGGTTTCCGCTGCTTCCGTTGCTGCCGTTGGTGATTTGCAGCAGCAGCACCACGGAGACTTCTCGTCCACCTCTGCTTTTGCTGCTGCTTCTGCTGCTGCTGCGGCAGCAGCGACGGGGGTCTCCCCGTCTGCTGCAGCAGCAGCAGCAGGGGGATCCCCTTCTTCTGCAGCAGCAGCAGCAGCAGCAGCAGCAGGGACTACTCGGGAGTGGAGGGCTGCGAGAGATTCTTCAAAAGAAGAAGTAACTTGCTGCAGCTCCTGCTGCAGCAGCAGACGGGCCCCCTTTGCTGTTGCATGCAGCCGCGCTAAGAAGGCGAGGAAGCCTGCAGTTAGAGACACTCGGTAAGCAATGCTGCAGCAAAATGAAGACTCATCGGGTGCAGCATCATCATCAGCAGCATCAGCTGTTTCAGCTGCTGCTTCTGCTGCTGCTGTCCCTGCTTCTGCGGCTGCAGTCCCTGCTGCTGCTGCTGGTGCAGTGCAGCGCCGAGTCTGGCAGCAGCAGCAGCAGCTGCTGCAGCGGGAAGCTGCGAGAGTAGAGAGATGGGTAGCCAAGGCCTTCAGCAGCACCAGCAGCAGCTGCGGCTCGATATCAACGGAGAAGAGGCGCTGCAGCCCTTTCTGTGGTTGCTGCAGCAGCCAGCTGTACGTACACCTCAGCACAAGTAGAGCGAAAGTTTGCTGCACAGTGCCTTGCAGCAGAGTGTGTGTTGTCTGCCGTTTATTTTATTGAATATGAGACAGAAGCAATTAAATATAAAATAGTTAAACATAAATACCTGCACTGTCTCTCCGGGTCTTCTTGCGCTTCCCACTGTCTCCTCAGCTGCGCCTGATTACGCAGCGGAGGTGCAGCGCCGTCTCTATTTTCCTTGCTGCTGCTGCTGCTGCCGCTGCTGCTGCTGCTGTTGCTGCTGTTGCTGCTGTTGCTGCTGCTGCTGCTATCAGCAGCAGCAGCAAGAGGAGGAGTGTACGTTGCATGAGGGTTGAGACGCCTAGTAGCTTGTTTGTTTATATCTTCTTTTGACAAAGGTCTGAGATAGCAGCCGTTTACAAGCGCTCTGAACTCCCCATAGTTTGCTGCAGAGACAATTGCTTTCTTCTTTGTTTCATCTTCTAAGCGCCTGCGGGCATCTGCTGCTGCTGCAGCATCAATTTGCTGCCGAAAGACGCGCTCTAGCCCCGGCTCTAGAGGCATTTTGAAGCGACAGCAGAAGCAAAACTTCTATAGAATCTACACCCTATCTTTCTCTATTGTATTCAATAATAATTATATATTTAATTGTTTATAGTAATACCTAGAGAGGCATGCACCAGTGCAGCGATCCCCTTGGAGTTCGCTTCTCTTGGCGGCTGGATTCTTATCAGAGACGTTTCTTAACGAGCTGCTAATGCTGCTGCTGCTGCTGCTGCGGCTGCTGCAGCAGCTACTGTTGCTGCTACTACTGCTGCTACTACTGCTGCTACTGCTGCTGCTACTACTGCTCTGTGCTGATGCTGCTGCCGCTGCTCCTGCTGCTGTTGCTGCTGCCTGCTTTCTGTCTTTGCCTATATGCATATCTTTGCTGCTGTAAGTCCAATAGCAGCAGCAGCAGCAACAGTAGCAGCAGCAATTCTTCAGGGTGTTGGCTGGGGCGTCTGGCGTTCTGCCTACCTCTCGTGAACTGTCTGTTTCTGTGTTAATTGGTATAAACAACGGGAGGCGTATCTGCAGCTGCACCTTAATAATATGCTGCTGCTGCTGCTGCTGCTGCAAGCAGGGCCCCTCAACAGGCTGTCTCTCTGTTAGGGATGGAAGTGCAGAACAAATGGTGTTTCTAAGAAGACTGCAGCTGCAAGAAAAACAAATAAAAACAAATAACGCAGTAGCAGTTCGATGCTAACAGCAGCAGCAACAGCAGCAGCAGCAGCAGCAGCCGCTTCTCCACCAGCCTCTCTCCAGGGGGGGATTGCTGCAAGAGCAGCACAGAGGAGGCATCTGCTTGAAGACCTTTCTTTTTTAAATAAATAAATTTAATTAATAATTAAAAATTATTATTAATTAATTACTTTTTATTTCATTCAACGACTCATAGCAAACAGGTACACCCCAGCAGCACCAGCAGCAACAGCAGCAGCAGCAGCAGCAAAAAGGATCTGACATCGCGTTAGTAGTCCAACGGTTAGGATACCTGCCTTCCAAGCAGGCGACCCGGGTTCGACTCCCGGCTGACGCATTTTCTCAATAATAAAATATATTAAATAATATTAATAATATTTTTAAAATATTATTATAATATATTTTAATTCCTCTGTATATTAATATTATTAATATTCACAGCATATAGCATTTGGCCTTCTCTTTATATAAACAGTTACAATATAAATAATAAATAAATAAACTAAATAAATAGATAAATAAATAAAGATATAAATATATAATTAAATAATTATATATAGGGTGCTTAAGTGAGACAACATCAGAACAGCAGCACAGCTAAATGCAGTTTGTAAAGAACGTAAGGAGACACCAACTGTCTCCTTTTATTGTGTGTTTGTCTTATCAATAAAACAAACAACAAACAGCTGCCTATTTTACTTTGCATATTAATAAACAAACAACTGAAGGAGACAGTTGATGCTTGTTATAATAAACAAACAGTAAAAGGAGACAGTTGCTGCTTTCCCTCCTATCCTGCTGCAGCTGCTGCTACTGTTGCTGCTGCTGCTGCTGCTGCTGTTGCTGTTGCTGTTGCTGCTGCTGCTGCTGCTGTTGCTGTTGCTGCTGCT